TATTTATACCGTGAGATACAGAGAGTGGAAACTAGGACGTTATCGGAGAGGTTCAAGGATACACTGGACGGAGTGCTTCTGGGTTGAACCAAGAGCACCTGAGGTGTAGAACAAGAGTCTCAGACGTGGACAGAAGTTTCAAAGACAGTGGTTTAGAGTTTCAAAACTGAAACTCAAGGCAAGTCACTATTCTATTCCTTCCCTTTAATTCGTGTTCTGTGCATGCTAGTTAGACTCCAGGGATTTAAATAAAGGTTAAAACGGTGGTAAACAAACATAATAACATGTTTTATGCATATCAGAATATTTGTTTAACCTCGTGAATTAACTACTTTGCATAATCATTGAGTTTTCTGGTACTCGTTTCTTATGAGGTTTATGATTAAGCATTGTTTTAATTGAGATTAGTAATACAGTTGGATGCCTTGTAATTAATCTGGGATTGAGTTTGAACTCTAGAACAAGTGCTTAGAACAGTCTTTAATTGTACTAAAGTAATCTGCATTAAATTTGTGATGATTTGCTTAAAAGGTTTCTAACAGTGGTTCTGTAAGCATGGTTTTAAAACTTGTGTTGCTATGCATGTTTATATTGGATCTCAGTGGTTTAAATTTATCTAGGACTAAGATTGAACCTAGAAGGAGACTTAAAACATATTACAGAGGCTCTGTTAGTCACCGGAGTTGGAGACGACAAACAAAAACGGACGACGGCTCTTAAAGGAAGAGAGCCGGCTCACCAAAAGAGGGAGCCGGCTCTAGGGCTTGAGGAGCCGGCTCTACAAGGGGTAAAGCCGGCTCCACATAAAGTGGAGGCAGCTCCACTAAGGGGGGAGCCGGCTCCAATGTTCTGGAGGCTGCTCCATCCTCTTCTCTCTTCAATTTTCGTGTTCTGGGTTTGGGTTTGGCCTGTAGGGAGTTTTCTAAATTATTCCAAAGGTTGTGGATGGTTTATACAACTGTTCCAGAGATGTAAAAAGGATTAGGAAGTATGTTAGTATTATTATTGAAGCATGAGACAACCTACGGTTACATAATACACTGGTAGGTAGAAGGGTGAATAATTAACTTAAGTTGCTTACTGTTTTAGCAAATTGGTTTCTTTGCATGATCTTAAATTGGAAATCATGTCTCAGTTGTTTTATAGGCATATATTATTTATTCTAGAAAAAAAATAAGTATGCTTAAATGGAAATTAATTGATATTTTAATTATACTGTATATTGCATCAAGTTATGGTATTAATTAGAGGAGTTGTATGCGTAGTCCTACTTTATGAATTTGAAGGACTGGAATAGAGTTTCTAAATCTTATATTAGACCGTATGTATGTTTTTCTGGGGTATGGTTGATGACTATCTATTACTGTGTTGTCAACTGTATTAATTGGAGGATGGTATGTACCGGTATGGGACGGTGACATACTAGGTATGGACTAGTTCAAACACTAAGTCCTGCCTAAGTTGGATTAAGGTACGAATTAACCATATAGGTTAAGTCCATTACCTACTTGTGTCAGGTCAACAAAATAGTTGGATGACTTAATATGGTTTCAGGACGGATGATTATACATATACTAGACCACTACACAGATAGATGGTATTTTGTATTAGGAGGAGTACGGACTTTATATATTTATTATATGGTACCATGATATGAGCTTGAGTCTTAAGACCATGGTTAGGGCGCGTATATCGCCTAGGATGGATAACTGGACATAGGTGTTATTCCCTGGTAGGTTTAGGTACACATGACCACTTTATGTGCGATTTGCATGATATCTCTACTCAGGCTGAGACAAACCTACTGGACTAGCGAGCGTCCTATAGTGTGTACTATATATATACATATGGACTACTCTAGATATTGTTGAGTCTTCCTAGGATGTATTTGCGTATCGGATTACTGTTTGGATCGTAGTAGAATAGGACTTGCATGTGGGCCTGACCCACTCTCTTATTTTTTCGAGTATTCGTCAGTTCCAGGGTTAGAGCTTGGATGTGCAGAGCAGATACAGACATTCATTCCTCCGACTACGTAGTAATCTTTTCTATGTTGACCTTAAGTTTCTATTTCAGATATTTTATTTTCAATTGGGATTTTTAATAATAAGGGGTCCACTAGATGGATTCCCGAGTTGTAACTTATGGAGTTTTGGAGTTTGGATTTAATAGATTTCATTAATTATATTTTGAGGATTTCAATTAGTATTTTTTCAGCTTATTATTATTATTTATCTCATCTTGTATTCTGTATTCGGTTATATATTAATTGTTTGATATTTCCCTCAGGTTTGGGCCCGGGCCTGATCAACCCGTGTCTCGGATCCGAGGGGTATCACATCCTCCGCCAAGCACAAAAAGGATCAGAGATTGCAGGCATGGGGAGTCTGCTATCCTTAGGAAGAAGACCTACAACATCCATCCAGTGTCCGAAATCCATGGCCACGGAAGTAGGCTTATTGTTGCCGATACTCAAATGGAGAAGGAAAGAGGAAGGCCAACAGAGAGACCAAGAAACAAAACACCACAGATAGAAATTTAGTACATAAAAAGCAATCAATAAAACTGTAAAAATACCTGGATCAAAGGGAAAAAGTGACAAGGATGGGCCAATAATCCGTCCAGTATTCAAAACACTTTATGGAACCACAAACTGCTCACCGGATTCCCTCCGGCCAAAAACAAACAGGATCGGCGAACTAAAAGAAGTGTGGAAGCCATCTCTGATAAACAGAAAACCTCAACGTGGCGAGGAACAACCCAATCTTAAGATTAATTTAACTCTCCGATTTGTGAGATGGTGGTGGTGGCAGCGGCGGCTAGGATTCTCAAGAAAGGAGAAAACTCTCACGAGATGTCTAATACATATAGCTCAATTTTGTTTATCATTGTCTGCAAATTGATAACTATAGCTCAATTTCTTGCAATAATCAATTCTGGGTCTGAATAATGTTTCTCGAAACACACTGTTTTTCGTTGGTCAAATTCGCAGAGGGAGAGTTTATATTGTAAGCTCTAAGGAAGGAAGCACAAATACTTTTTTAAAAGTGTTATGGTTGTATGGGATATGCACTCGTATACTTGTGAATACGCAAATATAGTCTAAATATGTGTCGGATAAGGTTAAAAGTATCGTGAAGTGAATATTTTATTTTTCAAGTCGGACACTATATAGACGATAATGATACATTTTCGACATTTTCATAATATGAAATGGTGATTTTATAATTTATTTTTACAAAATGAAATTATATATTATGAGTTAATTTAAAATAATAATATATATTTTTTAAACATAAAAATAATAAACATTTAACTCTAAGCTCTAAATTATTAATTTATATAGATAAAACGAAAAAAAAAATATTATTTATATATATAATAATATAAATTATATTATTATTTTTAACGTAACGTCTCGTCCCCGTATCGATGTTTTCTAGCTTTGAAGTAATTTAATTGAAAGGGAAAATTAAAATATCTTTTTGACTAATTTAAAGTGTTGGAATTATGAAAGAAATGTTATGTCGGCAAAATCTAATCTAGAATTTTGGCTTTATTAAATCAAGTCATCTGTGCTAAAAATTTCAACGTGGAAAAAATTTTGAAGTTAAAAAAAAGCTAAGAGGTTGTGTGGTCACATTCTATCATCACTCTATAATCTTGAATTTTTTGCATGGAGTAAAGGTAAGGACTTTGATTAAATGATTCCTTCCTAGAAGAAGTTTAGTTTTTTATTTTTATTTTTATTTTTTCGATAATGGGAGTGTTCAGAGGTGACTTCTTTATACAAATTAAGTAAAATTCGGACTATGTCTGCGATCATGACCCCTAAAAATTGATCGCAATCGAAATGATTCGAACCTGAAACTTAATATTTTACAAGGCACTAAGTCCTAGAATTTCACTAGGGGTTAGGAAGTTTTGGTTTCCTTAGTTCAAAAGCTTTATTTTTTTTCATTCCCTTCTCTTTTTCTCTTCGGTATGTTAGGGCTAAACAAGTAAATATATATGTATGTATGTATGTATGCACACGTGTTACAAAAATAGACTAATTTTGAAACAATATGATATGTTGTTGCTAGGGGTACTTGGTATAATAATGGCTAAGAAGCCCAGATAGAGAGATTGAGCACGCAAATTTCAAATATTAGATTTTTAAGCCTTTTCACCCATGGTCTATAGTCGCAATATCGTTCCTAGTATAACAGATTCAGACGAAGAACGGTATAAACCGACATAATCGGTCAGTTCATGCAAATATATATTGGTATCGAACCTTCGAAAAATAGTTAAGACTGATATAGGAAACACCGATTTATTAACTAGGCGTCCTATGTGGCATTCAATAATTGAGTAAAAATCAATTATAACATTAATTTTCAACCAACCACAGCAACTGTGACATCGAGAATATAAATATAATCACAGATGTTGTAATGGTTGATGTTAGTGTAGTCAAAATTTTCAAGTGAAACTAAATCCAAAACTATACTAAATTTAACGTACATATAAAAAAACGAAGCCCTAGATTTGCTATGGCAATAGGCAGGCAGGTTTGAGACAGATAGCCCCTCCCCCGCTCTAATGAAGAACATGTCCTCTGTACCCTTCTCAAACTAGCGAGTTACTAATATAAAATGTGAATCCATCTATGTTTATGAGTTCTAGATCCTATACTACTAATAAATAACTAAATTTCTAGTATTGAATTTTAAAATATGATTTTCTTTTTTTCCCTAAATATAAAATATGAATATTTTATTAGTTATAGCTTCAGTTTGTCTCAATTAAATAAAGGAATAACGTACTCTCGCTGTCCAATCATAATATTGAGGTGGGACCTACTTCCAAGTTGATTAGTTGGTGCGTCTCGTGGACCCGAAGCAGACTTAAGAGAGGTGGAGGAAACGTGGCATGTCAATTACCTATTGTTCTAGAAGCCAGAATCCTTCAAATAGAAACAGCCACACTTGTTCAATTTTAAAAACTCAATTTCATATTCTAAAACTCAATTTCATATTCTAAATCTTCTCAAATATTGATGCTAGCTTGGAAACCTTCTTGAGTTCCTTTTATTCTCTTCATATATATATATACATATACATATACATATTTTGCTTCTGAAAACAGAAAAAGGATATGTCTAAGCGTTTTGAGCTCTTTGTCTTGCTCTTGGTGTTTGTTGCCACATCTCAACATGCAATCAGTGTTGAACAACCCATCATGCCTATGATACTCCAACAATATCCAAAAAGTAAGTATTCTAGATCTATCTATATTATGGAATTAAAAGTCTGATTAAACATTAGTTGATTGTGAATTTAAATCAATGATATATATAATCATTTTGTGATTTGAATTTGATCATATATAGGGTATCCGAAGATTTTTGCTACCCTCGGAATTGTTTGCAAGTGTTGCGATGGTGATAAAGGAGAATGCGAAAGCGCATGGGAAGGGCGTTGCTCTAAGCTCCAATGTCTTCCATGGAAATATGATTGATTCATGAATGTAATTTTAAGATATTACATAAATGATCTTAAATAATCTTTTAAGATATTGTATTATACAAAATTTAGAATTTGTACTCTTAGCTCTTTATATATATATATATATGGATCAACTTTTAATGATCTTGTGTGATATTTTGAATTGGAGATAGTCACAGGTTAATCAAGAAATAATGTTTCCTCCAATGCACTATAGAGTTTAGTGATTGGCTTCTTTCTAGAAATTATTAGAGCAACAACATATATGCTTGCCTCGACAATATGATAGAGTTTGGATTATGCTATCTCATATCATGCGTGTGATTTCTCATAAAGCAAGGGTATTAAAATTTCTCTAATATTGCTATGTTTAGCTGGATTTAAATTTGGAATCGGAATAAATTTAATATAAAATTTAAATTAAATTTCCTTCAATCCAAAATTCAAAACACCGATTTCATACTACTAAACTTAGCATATAAAATTTTAAATTGTTTGAGAGGTATAAGTTGAGTATTAATATATTCTAATGCATGATGGGCTTATCATTTTATGTAAATTATCAAGATAGTAGAAGAAGTTGGGTTTGTGAGTTTATTTTTATGAAAATTATATATAAAGAAAACCGACAATATTCTTACCTTTTAAAACTTCTTACGTACCTATTTGTGTCCTATATAAAAATAAAAATAAAAATTGAGAGGAAACAAAAATTAAACGAATAAATTTGTTTTTAGATTAACAATTTCACAGACACCCTTTCTTATATTTTCATATGTAATTTCTCTAGCCTCCTCTTTGAGGATAAAAAAATTATACAATTGAGCCCGAAGCTCTTTGATAATACATTTTTTTTTTTTTTGACGAAAAGGCAAGAAATTTCATTGATAAATCCGGAAAGATAACAAGAACATTAGCCGCCTGTACACGAATCTACAGCAATACAACTTGAGTGCACAAGGGAATCTCTAAAGTATAAAGTTTTTTCTAGTTTACTCCTTAAAGCCCACCTAGCTAGATGATGAGCAACACCATTAGTTTCATGAGACACGGAGACAGCCGAAAAACCTTGATTCTCATCTAAAAATTCCTGAATATCGGCAATAATAGATCCTAACAATACTGGAGGAACAACTTGCACATTTACAGCCTTTACCACCACTTCAGCATCTCCTTTTAAAATGACTTTATCAAAATTCCAACTTGAAACTGTAAAAATTGCTCTTCTAAGAAATGAGCGACATGAAGAACAGTACCTGTGTAATCTCGGATCACCAAACCACCTCCATAGTAGTTGATTTGACTCGTATATATATGTATATTTTTTTCTCTTGATCAAATATTAAGGTGTACAGTTATAGTAATTAATAAAATAGGCCGTAACAAAGAAGTGGGGTTGGTCCTGATGGGATTTATATATCCTGGCATAGCGAATTTCTATTTGGATTAAAGCGACACATATTCCTGACGTATCTGAAATATTTATACTTTATACAATAAATGAATTCAATGTATTATATTTCGATTCATTATGGAATTGATAGTGTCCACTTAATTATAAGAAATATATATATATATATATATATATATATATATATATATATATATGTATGTGTGTGTGTGTGTGTGTGATGACAATCAATACATGAATATAAATAGTAATCATAAATTGTTCATAGTCAATAATTATGGATGGACTCATAATTAATTAGAACTGGATCCGCGTTAGGTTGAGTTATATTGCAAGAGTCATCGTATGCAATTGCTCCCTATCACTGTCATGGCATTTGACTCTTAAACATGTAAGAAGTATAGACTCTTTTATTAATTAGCAATTACTTTGATTTGTTCGGCGGAATCTTTGGAATCCTTAGACTGACAATTTGGGTAATTATGTAATTAATAATTAGAGGGTTATATTTTCAATATTTGCATCATTGCTACTTGTATTTATTTTGTATTGATTATGGTTGATCACAAAGTAAATTCGAAGGCCTTCGTGTGTTTTTAGACAAAATGATTTATTATATATTTATTTATTTAAATTATTATTTTTGTCAAACAAATGTTTTATTGTGATCAAGCCGGAAATAATCAGAGGCATCAAAATAAATATATTAATTAAGTAGTCGAATTGATGACTTTATTTATTCGATAACTAATTATACATAGAGGGATCAAAATGCAACATTGACTTAGAAGTTATTTATTATTTAATTGGAGTTCATTTAATTTTTTTTAGTGGGGTAGAAATTAATTTATGAATTAATTGAATTGGGTCCATGGACCGGGCCAATTATTAATTCATTGTAACCAATAAAATAATAAGCCCAAAAGATTCTCACTCATAGCCCAACTTGATATTGGAATCTTATTAGATTTGAGACATTTGAATTAGAGATTGAGAAGGATTTATTGTTTCTTTTTCCTTATCTTTATGTTGCCTATATATATAGATGGTCTATGTATGTTTTAAGGGTGATTTTTAGAATAATGAAAAGTAATATATTATCTCTCTCTAGAAAATTAGGGTTAATGTTTTCATCTAATGGAGGCTCCCATAAGCCTAATTTTTCAAAGTCATTTATGGAGGCTTATGGGTGATTCCTAATGGCAAGACCATTACCAAGAAGATGGAGATCCAAGGAGAAGACATCTAGAGAAAGGATCTACAATAAGTGAGAACATTCACTTTAGAGGAGAGATCTAAGGTTTACTCAAACCTTTAATGTAAGTATTCAATCTTTTAATTGAATGATATATCATATTTTATTTTTGCATAAAACTTGTCTCTATGTGATGAATCAAGATCTATATATGAAAATCTCTCAGAAATTTTTTAAAACTTGCACGTTTCCCAACAGTGGTACAGAGCCATGGTTTGATTCATTATTAGAGACCATGTTTTTTTTTTTTTTTTTTTTTTTTAATCAAAATCATCATTCATGAATCTAAATTTTATGTGCATATATGTATTTATTAATATATGTTGATGTATGATTTAATATGTTGATATATATTGATACATGATGATGTATGTGTAATTGTGAATGAATGATGATGTATGTTTGGGTCATGGATGAAGTTTATAGGTTAATTAAATATAATTTTATCTTTGAATGAATGTAATTAAGGTTTTGATTTAGCCATTTGAAAGTTCAATGATGTAATTTAATTTTTTCCATTATATTTCAAATTATAAATATTTATTAAAGCCATATAATCTTCATCAAAGGATGCTATGAAGCTTCAAGAAGGTCCAAGAAAGTTAAATTAGGCTTCAGGAATTTTCTGAGATTTTTTAGAAATTTTCTAGAATTTTTTAAGGCCAAATTTATTTTTCTGGAATTTTTTAAAATTATTTTCTGGAATTGTCGGCGATTTTTCGGCCATCGGCGCGTCGCCGGCGGCAATAACGGTGCCGGAGTAAAGTTTGTTGATCCAGTGTAGCACGGGACACCAGCTTTCATTACAACCGAATTATTGACCGTTGGACCACATGATGGTGGCTGGAGAAGATACTGTGAGACGCGGCTACGGCATGCGCCATGCACTCCCATTGGAAAGGCGCGTGAAGTACATGCGCTGACCAAGTCAGCGCCTCAGGCACGTAGAGTACACGCGCTGACCCTGTCAGTATCTATCAGGCGCGTGCAGGTGCGTGACACGCGCCTACACATATCCCCATTGTGTGCCAGCGTGTGGGGCTTAGTTGCTGACGTCCCCAGCGCGTGGCAGCGCGTAGGGACTCCCTATTCACTCCCCTAGCGCGTGGGGACATGCTGGACACTATCCGGGCGTGTTCCATGCACAGTTTTACCTCTTCAAGCATGTACCAACCTCCTGCCGATGTTTGCAAGCCGATGGAAGACACTTGTGCAATACGTAGAGCAATTAAATGTTAAAAACTAAATCCATTGGCCATTTTTATTTGCTTTATTTGTCATTTATTGATGTATGTGATACATGGAATAATTAATTGCAAATTATTATTGCTCATGCATTAGATCTATCATATTAATTTAAATGACTTGATTTATATTAATTAAATAATAAAAATTAATTGAATTTGATTACTAATTAATTAGAGGGCACTTATTGGGAAACGAAAAAAAAATTTGAAAATTATTTTTTTTTAAAGTGTGCCTCAAATTAAATATTAGTGAATCATTTAAAGTCCAAATATTTTCTAAATTTAATTGGATTAAAATCAAGGCGTTTTGCATGCATCATATTATGTATTTGAATAAATGAAAAACCCTAATTATGTATGAATAAAAATTGAGTGGGAGCGGGGATTATTATACATTACCCTATGGCCTTCGTTATTATAGCCATTGTAATTAGATCTTCAAAAATAAGGCACCACGCATGATTTGACGAATCTTAATATTACAAGAATGATTGTCTCATGAAAATAAAAATATTAAATGTTCTTTATAATTAGATCATTAAAAATATGGCCCTACGCATGATTTAAAGAGTCTAGATTATAATGACAAGATATTTAATGTTTTATTTTTCGTTGGAGCATTAATAACGTTATACACTCAATCTAAAATCAATAGTATTGACCTTAAGGATTTCATCCAATGACAATCTAGATGTTTTGATAATAACAAATCATTAATGGTGTTTAAGAACTAATGTTCACATTGAGTGTTATAAATGATTTACATTCAAAGAAGAATCTCAATGAAGATCATAAAGATCATTCCAAGTATTCCATCACTCAAGATCACATCAATGAAAGAAATGGATACAAAAAAGACTTCAAGTTGTAAGGAAAGATAGCTTGGACTACAACGAGCAAGAAAGCAACTCTAAGAAATGAACAAAACATGACTACCTCAAAGCCTATACGATCATGGACAAAGTATGAAGAAAGGGGTAGATAGGATGGTGAGTGTTTAGGATTCAATGTCAAGGTATTTATGAATCCATTTGAAGCTCATCGCTATAGGACCATACATATCATACATCATTCATATGTTCCTATATCCATTAGCAATAAACTATGCACTTCATTCATATAATTGACACATGAAGTCTTTGCTAAAAGAATGAGTTAGTTCAAGCTTGCATAAGCTTATAAAGAACTCATCACTTGTGCTAGAAATGCTAAGACCATGCACATCAATC